AGGTTAGAACATAAGAACGGCCACACTGGGTCAGATCAAAGGTCCACCTAGCCCAGTGGCCTGTCTGCCAACAGCGGCCAATGCCAGATGCCCCAGAGGGAGGTAACACAACAGGGAATCCTCACGTGATCCCTCCCCTGTCACCCATTTCCAGACAGACAAAGGTTAGGGACACCATTCCTACCCATCCTGGCTAATAGACATTGATGGACCTCACCTCCACGAATCTATCTCGCTCTTTTTTGAACCCCGTTCAAGTCCTGGTCGGAACAACATCCTCTGGCAAGGAGTTCCACAAGTTGACAATGTGCTGCATAAAGAAAACCTTCTTTTGTTCATTTTAAACCAGCTACCTATTCCTTTCAGTAAGATTGTCAGTGCTTTTGCGGAAATACTATGCTGCTCCCGTTCGGGCAAAAGTCTTTTTCCAAAAAACTTGCGCAAAAGGGCCAGTGTAGACAGCAGAGATTTGTTTTGCGCAAAAAAGCCCCGATCATGAAAATGGCGATTGGGGCTTTTTTGCGGAAAAGCGCGTCTAGATTGGCCACGGACGCTTTTTCACAAAAAGTGCTTTTCCGGAAAAGCGTCCTGCCAATCTAGATGCGCTTTTCCGAAAATGCTTTTAACGGAAAACTTTTCCGTTAAAAGCATTTCAGGAAAATCATGCCAGTGTAGACGCAGCCTTCATGTGGTGACCCTTCGTTCTTGTGTGATGGGAACAAGTAAATCACTTTTCCTTATTCACTTCCTCCACACCTGTCGTGATTTTACAGACCTCCATCCTATCCCCCCTCCCTTAGCGTCCTTTTTTCTAAGCTGAAGAGTCCCAGTCTTTTTCATCTCTCTTCAGGCGATTCTTTTTGCAGAGCGTATTCGCAGACTGCTCCGTCGGCTCTCACAATGCAGCCACCTCTGCAGGGGGAGGAGCTGTGAACCCGCAAGGCAAAGCCAAGGGACAGGATGCCCAGGGGATGTTGAGGGGACTGTCAACTCCCCCATGACGGACGCTCCAGCCAGAAGTGCCCATTCAGAGCCTCCCTTGAGGAAGCTCTGGGGGCAGGATGGGAATCCGGGGGCTTGCCCACAGATTCAGCCAGGTCCCGGCTGGGCACCCACCGACGGGCCGGGGAAGGAGGGCTCCTCACCTGGAGCATCTCGATGCCCGACTGCAGGCACTTCTCCTCGATCTCGGTGATGAGTTGGTTGAGGGAGAGGCGCTGGTCTGACAGCTGGGCCACGTTGTCCTTCAGCCGCTGCAGGATCTCCTTCTCCTCCTCCTCCAGCCGCTGGGGCAGCACCCGCTGCTCCTCCTCCAGGAACTGGTGCAGCTCCTCGAACTCGCTCATGATCAGCTGCCGACGGCTCTCCACCTTCCTCTGCAGCGGAGGACCGGGCTGGAGTCAGGCATGGGGAAAGCCGGCATGGGCAGGGGACTCCCTCCCACCCCAGATCTGGCCAGAGAGAGGCAGGGGAGGGGGGGGAGGCTATCCCCCCAGATCTGGCCACAAAGAGGAGGGGCGGGAGCCAGAGGAAGGGAGGAAGGGATTTTAGAACTGGACAGAAGGGGGCTGGGTGCAGTAGGAAGCCCAGGTGAGCTCTGTCTACAGCTGGGGAGAAGCGATTAGTCTCTTTGCAATGTGGATACAGCGGCTGCCAAAATGCAGCCACCTCTAGAGCGGCTGTGACCCCACAAGGCAAAGCTGCAGGGGGGAAGGTTCAATGGGGAGCCCTGAATCCCCCTGAGACCAGACTGCAGGGGGCTCAGGGAGTCAGAACAGAGCCACCCACGTTGGCATTTGACACTCAGGAGTCGGCAGCGGGAGATTTTCCACTCGTCTCACCCAGTCCGGGTCTCTGACACATTGCAAAGATGGCGATTCCAGCAACACAGGCCAGACAGCGCCCCCTACTGGCGCCTCCTGCAGCTCTCCCAACCGAGCTGGGACGAGGGATGTTCGCTATCGGTTCATGGAATAGTCGAGAAACTTCATGAATTCTTATCGGTTACTAGCTATAGTCCCCAGGGGTGGGGCCGGCAGCCAGTGCGCTCTGGCCCCACTCCCGAGCAGCCCCCTGCCACGCCGCACTGCTGCCTCTGTATCAGAGGCAGCTGCGCAGGGTGCCAGGCGGGAGCTGGTCTGTGAGGGAAGCCAGTTTAAAACACATCCCCACGCCAACTGGCTGATAAAGAGGCGGCAGTGTGGGATGGCAGCAGTCGGTTTTCGGGGGGGTTCTTCGCTCCCGGACCCGATGTGAGCAGGAACTAAGCTGTGCTGCCTGCCTCCTAATGCTTTTAAATGCAGAGCCACTGCGGGAGTAGGTCTCGGACCCAGAGCAAGCCAGGACTGAACCAGCCTGCTAAAAAATGTACTGGCTGGGGGGCGGGGGGAAATGCGTGTCATCTATAGCATTAGCCTATAAGCTTTAGCTTCTCGGTTCATCGACTACACTACTCCATCACTGCCTGGGACCCCGCCCAACCCAGCTCACGGATGGACCAGCCCATCCGGCGGCCTTCCCCCCCGCCGCTGCAGGGGACAGAGCAAACCTGCCACCTGCCTTCAGCTCTCCAGGTTTCTTCTCCTCCTGGGACTTGCAGTGAGCCGGGGCTCCAGACACTGCTGCAGCTTCTCCTGGGAGAAGGAAGGACATTTAACCCGCGGGATCCGGCCGCCGGATTCAGGCTCGTGGCAACAGTAACCAGATGGACAGTTCTCTGGAGGTTAGATGGGTCACTGGGGAAGTGGGGAGGGGTATGATTACGGATCAGAGGCCAACCCAGTCCCTTGTAGACAGTCCAGTCTCAGCCCTCCCTCATCTCAGGGAGTCTTTTCTCCTCCCAGAGCTGGGGACGGAACCCAGGAGTCCTGGCTCCCCCCTAGCTCCTCTCCCCCCCAGCCCAGGGGAGGGGAACCTTTTTTAGGTCGGGGGGCACTGATCCTCAGAAAAATCAGTCGGGGGGGCCGCACGGAAGTGAGAAAATCAAACCCTCATTGACGTGGCTGCCCAGCAAGGAGGAGAAAGATGCTCCCCACATTCTCCTCC